TTCAAATGCTCAATAGGTGCGATCTATTTTATCCATCATGTTTTTTCGGTCGGAAATGTGACAAAATTATAACATCATCGCAGAGTAATTGCGAAGAAGACCACGCGTAAAAGCAGCAAAATCTCACTAGAGTATTCGCCTAAGAAAGCAAGTGCTCCTATGAGCTTTTATACCAAAATTAGCAAAAGAGAGTATCAAAGCAGAAAATCTCTGATGAGGAAGTACGGAAGAAAAGCACAATAAAGAAGTGAAATGGGAATTATCAAAAATGCTCGTGCACGAAAGAACAGAGGCAGAAAAGAGAAATGAAAGGAATGTGAAGATATATTACCCAGGGCTTAAAAGAGTGACAATCGGAAAATCTTTTGTGCGTGTGTAATAAATTATTTTTAACATAATCTTGCACCTTGAAAACTATAGTTTTTCTGTATGAAAACCATTTTTTCCTTTTGATGTGAAACTCCATAGAAAGCCCAGTTGCTGGACAGAATGCGATAAATGAAATCCAGTTTTTGTTGTGGGTAGATGATCGAATTGAGGAAGGAGAAATTCTTCCAGGTCTGGTATACTTTTAGTTGATTACGAGTCCACTGAATTAGTGGCGGGAAAGATTTTGATTTACAATCTTATCTGTCGTTGCTTTGTGATGATAGCTAATTATTACGGTCTACATATTTTCTCCGAAATCGAATCTCGTCTCGAGTGTCCGGCCATTACCACGATTTTCCGCGGCGAATCCTTTAAGAGTCGTTGACTTCCTCGTGGTCACAAAGGAATAAATGAAAAAAAAATTACACCCTAGGATTAAACGTGAAACCATGGTTTATTTCATTTTCTTTTGTATTTCTCGGATTCTTGTGTGATAGAGTCACGTTGGACGTGTTTTCAGCCGCAGCGAATGCCGAAATGCCGTGGGAAAAGAAGTAGAATAAAACACTGCGCCGCACTTCGCACGTCGAAGAAGTTGATTTCTGATTCTTTTTAGTATTTTAATCTTACGTAGGTGTCGCCTAAAGCGTTGAAATGTGCAAACACAGTACAGTACTGTGCTGCGCTTTTGTTTTGCGAGATTCGATTCAGCTGAATTATCTTTGATCAAGTTAGTGAACTAGGACTAGGCGACTCCTGGCTGATCTTTTGAAAGAGAGGTGTAGGGTGAATTGGAAGTAAAATAGCTGCTTTTGAAATTAATTTCTGATTTTTTTGCGCTTTAGCGAATAATTCACGCGTCTGCATTCGTAGCTGCATCATAGATGCACAATGACGGAGCTGTCTTTCTAATTGGGAAAAATATTTTCTTGCGTGCAGATTACGTTCCTTCGGACGAGTGCTACTGCCCGGTTGAGATTAGCAGCTGGTTGGAGGCGATGAAATGTCCCGCGAGTTATAAACAACTCGACGAGGATTTGTCATATTTTCAATCTGTCAATATGACAGGTGTCCACGCGGAGTTCCTGCGCACTTTTAACAATCCTGGGGCCCAGTCAGTGTGTCACTACGTGATTAAGAACAACCAAGTATGTTTCATTTTGAGGATTATGCGATATTCCATCAGTTTTAATGCTGGAATGAAGCAAAGTGCGAATCCAAGATCAATTCTTTTGTAAATACGAATTGGAATGAAGATATTGAAATATTACGAATTGGAATTAAGATATTGAAATATTACGAATTGGAATTAAGATATTGAAATATTACGAATTGGAGTTAACATATTGAAATACCACGAATTGGAATTAACATATTGAAATATTACAAATTGGAATTGAAATATTGAAATACTGTATTATGAATTGGAATTTAAAAGAAAAGAACTTGATTTACGATGAACATTTCAAAATTTATGCCGGTATTTAAATTCAAGTTAAATTCAGTTAAATGCATAGAGTATTTTTCCAAGGAATATTTCGTTATTATCGTTGCATGCAGCTCATGGAAAGCATTGAGACTTCATTTTCGGGGTACGTCACAGTACCGAATTTACTCAAGTACCATGCAAATTTTTTTCCAATAAATTGGGGCAAGAAGTGAGGTGCGCCTCGTAGTCGGGTACACCGTTTCAATTAATTTTTTTTCCTGTTCGAACTTCTCTCCCACTTTCAAAAATGTCGGAGTTCTCCATTTTAATGAGACTATTTGCATATAATGAAGAAATCGCTACCGAATTCGATTTTCATTTGGGTTTCAATTTAGATTTTTCCGCAACACCGTTTAAAATAAGAATTTTGGTAACTGGAAATAAGGGGTTCGTCTTTTGAGATGTTTCTCAAAAATTTATTTGAAAATTTAAGGTTTGCGTCTTACTTCAAGGGCGCTTGATACGCATTTAAATACAGTACAATATTCTCTTGTTTGATACATGAAAGTCAATTAAATAAAACACACAGGATATCTTACCTGATACATGAAAGTGGACAGATGATGATTTTGAATTTAGATGAACCACCTACTTTTGGGATGAAACTTTCTTCCAACCCGAATTACGAAAAAATGAATCAATTATGAAATTTTTCATTGCGAATTTTTTCACATTTTCCTTGAAATCATTCTTATTTCACCGCATTTAATTTAGTACCAAGCGACGCTTATCCTGAACGTTGGATAAAATGCTATCCCTGAGGAAGACATTCTTCGTGACAGAAGCGTTGCAAAATTTTGGAAATTAACCCCATCAGAATTTGAATTTTTACTAGTATAAATTACAGTAATTTGAAGGATGAATTCATTTTAAAGAATGAATTAATTTGAAAAATGAATTAATTTTGAAATTTTTAAGGAAGCAGTCTATTTCTCCAAAATGTTCAACATTTTCCTATTGGAATCCACATGTCGTGCACCTGATCATTATATTTTAAAATAAAAAAAATTTTATGTGATGCGCACCCTCTTTTTCCCTTCTTAATTTGCAAAAAATGGCGCGCGTGATACTCGCGTGAAAAAGGTAATTCTCAGCTGCATAGGGCCATTTTTGTACTGTGTCCATTTCTTTGATGTCACATTTTTCTAGGCTGCCTAATTTTACAATGCTAAAAAGCAAAGACAAGAATACTGCCTCATCAAATTCAAATTCGGTACTGTAATTATTTGTCTCGAGTCATTGTAAAGCTTTTACCGAATTTGAACGTTCAATTCAAGATGGTTACTGTAAAAAATGTTTCCTTATCTTCATCGTCCAGGTATTCAGAGAATGCTTCGGCGAGCATGTCGGCTTCAAGATGTTCGTCGATGCAATACTCCTCAGTTTGACGAGGCGGATACGTTTGCCGGATGTCGAATTCTACGCGAATCTAGGTGATTGGCCATTGGTGAAGCCAGGCAGCAATTTCCCGCTGTTTTCGTGGTGTGGATCTGACGACACGGCTGACATTTTGTGGCCGACGTATGATTTGACCGAAGCCACACTTCAAATGCTCAATAGGTGCGATCTATTTTATCCATCATGTTTTTTCGGTCGGAAATGTGACAAAATTATAACATCATCGCAGAGTAATTGCGAAGAAGACCACGCGTAAAAGCAGCAAAATCTCACAAGAGTATTCACCTAAGAAAGCAAGTGCTCCTATGAGCTTTTATACCGAAGTTAGCAAAAGGGAGTATCAAAGCAGAAAATCTCTGATGAGGAAGTACGGAAGAAAAGCACAATAAAGAAGTGAAATGGGAATTATCAAAAATGCTCGTGCACGAAAGAACAATAGGCAGAAAAGAGAAAGAATGCAAAGGAATGTGAAGAAATATTACCCAGGGCTTAATAGAGTGACAATCGGAAAATATTTTATGCATGTGTAATAAATTATTTTTAACATACTCTTTCACCTTGAAAACCATAGTTTTTCTGAATGAATACCAAATTTTTTCCTTTTGATGTGAAACTCCATAGAAAGCCCAGTTGCTCGACAGAAGTCGATAAATAAAATCCAGTTACTTTCGTGGGTAGATGATCGAATTGAGGAAAGAGAAATTCTTCCAGGCCTGGTACACTTTTAGTTGATTACGAGTCCACTGAATTAGTGGCGGGAAAGGTTTTGATTTACAATCTTATCTGTCGTTGCTTTGTGATGATAGCTAACTATTACGGTCTACATATTTTCTCCGAAATCGAATCTCGTCTCGAATGTCCGGCCATTACCACGATTTTCCGCGGCGAATCCTTTAAGAGTCGTTGACTTCCTCGTGGTCACAAAGGAATAAATGAAAAAAGTGCACCCTAGGATTAAACGTGAAACCATGGTTTATTTCATTTTCTTTTGTATTTCTCGGATTCTTGTGTGATAGAGTCACGTTGGACGTGTTTTCAGCCGCAGCGAATGCCGAAATGCCGTGGGAAAAGCGAGAGGAGAAGGCATTTTGGCGTGGGAGAGACTCGAACCGCGAGCGACTCGACCTTGTCCGTTTTTCCAAGCGGAAGCCGGATATTGTGGACGCTGGCCTCACGCGGATGTTCTTCTTTCGGGACCAGATGCACGAATTTGAGCCACTCTCGCCGCATATCTCGTTCTTCGACTTCTTCCAGGTACTGTACAGAACAATACGAGTTCATTGGCATTCCCTAGTCCCAATGTTTTTTGGAACGGATATTTATTGTACATTTGGACAGCCTCTCTTGAACGAAATTCAAGGGACCAGAAAAAAAATTCGCGTGGAGAGAACCCCTGTATAACATGAAGAGAATCCTGTGCGATCCAAAATATCGTTTTACGGAGAAAATCGTTTTAGACAAGATTATTTTAGTGGAAGTCCATCTTGTATACAGGGACAGTAAAATATCCTTTCGACGACACTCTTGGACTAGGAAAAGCACTGAGGAACCTTCTACAGATTGAGTCCAGGAGCAATGACCACGTGTCACCATTGGAGAAAATCAGTGCAGGTTGTCCTGCTTTACAACGATTTTCTCTCTAAAACGATTTTTATCCTGCAAGAGTTCCCTGCCAAACTAGTTCTCAAAGGGATTCCTCACGACGAACTTTTCTTGACAACAAATTTTTTTCTGGTTCCGTGAATTTCTTGTAGAGAGAGTTCACCTGCACAATATGAGGAACGCTTGTTTCCCTTAACACAAAATACCGGCGGCTGACTAAATTTCAGAATCAAGTACGAGCCTGTCTTCAGTTTTTTGGAATCTTTCAAAAAAGAAGTCTGTGTTGAGCATTTTGGGGAAACTTGCTGAAGATAATTAGAAACTGAAAATCATTGTGTTTGAATATTTTTTGTGAACATATTTTATGAAAGAACACATTTGTGCTTTTGAGAAGGGAATCCTTTTGTGGTGGGTCACATGCTGACGAATTGTTGTACAGTCAAACCTCTGTAAGTCATATTTCAAGGGACAGAAAAAATTCAACTTTGGGAGATTTTGAGTTATAGAGGTTTGAGTTTTGGAACCAAGCTTTTTTGTTGTGGGAAACATGAAAGAATTACAGGAAATCATAAATGGTGATATTCTTGGCTTTAAATTGATTATTGAATTAGTTTACAGGGTGCTGTTCATTTGCCCAATTTAGTCATTCACTTCCTTTCAAAACACATGAAATTCCATTTTTATTAATTTTATCTTTCCTGCATCAAGAGAACAACAGCTAAAAAGCCTCTGAAAATTTGACTTGTGGAGGTTTGCGTGGAAAAGCCTTTGAGTGAGGGGGAGGTTTCTAATGGATTGTATATGAGGGTATTCTGACAGTGACTTGAAAAAAATTTGACTTACATAGTACAGTATCATTTATCAATTTTTATTGCGGATATCTCAGTTGAGACATGTGCCAGTGGGAAAAATCATCAAAGGAATCACGATGTGTGTAATTGAGAAAAACCATTCCTGTCCGAACATTTTCTAGAAAGTGTTCACTCATTATGATAACAAAGCCCGCTGTGACAATCGTTCTCAAAGTAAATACTGTAATAAACTAGGGCAAGTCCAATAAAATCGGTACCAGAGAAAACTAGAACCGCAATGAATTCATTCCGAAACATAATGAGTTTGGTTGAAAAGATCGTGTTGTGCTGATTAACGTTTTTGGAGACGCTTATTGTATCTCACCCGAATCATTTATTTTTCCACAAGGATTCTCTTTTCAATGAAATGAAATTAGACAGGTGTATTTTTCCTCAGTAAAATGTTATGCGAGTCCTCCATACAAAAAATCTTTATTTTTATTTTTTTGTGAGCGTTCACGCTTTTTAGGGTTGTTCATAAGCTTGGTATTTCTTCCTTTGTTCTTCTTACTTTGTTTACAGTCTTAGATGAAGGTGGACGTAATTTTTACGTATTAATATTCAGTATTTTTCATGCTTTCTCAAACAAGTTTAAGATCGGATTAAGTGCGTTGTATCATTTGGGAATTGAGGTATACCTGCAGTCATTGCAAGTATTATAAATCCGCAGGGAGTTTCAAGTTTGAACAGATATTTCAAAATGATACCAAAATCTTTCTACCGATATTGTTCCAGATACGACAAGAATGTTATTATCGAAGACCAGTTCTTATTCAACAATTTTTGTGTGCGTTGCGGACTGAAAATCTTCACCAAATAAGTTCAAGTTTTTTTGTGTGGAGCGTTCTGACTTCAAGCTTGGGAACAAATTCCTAGAAAGAGTACCAACACAACTTTTGAAAGCCATATCTCGTATTCATTTGACGATTTTTATGACGGACCGTGAACAGGACAAATGGGATGGGACAGAACATTGAAAAAATGATAATCGCAGTGTTGAAAGATTTTTGTGTTATCAATGACTCTCGGTCGTAAAATCGGTGAAGCGTGATACGCTCTTGATTTTTATCCGCGTCAAGCGTTTGATATTGGAAAGTTTCTTTCAAACTCGTTCCTCCCCCCCCCCCCCCCCCCCCTTCTTCTCCCGCAGTACAAGTACATGGTGAACGTGGACGGAACAGTTGCTGCGTATCGACTGCCGTACCTCCTCGCCGGGGCGAGCCTGGTACTGAAGCAGGACTCCAAGTACTACGAGCATTTCTACTCCGAGCTGATCCCCGGGGAACACTATCGTCGCTTGCAACGTGATCTCGGCGACTTGGAGGCCCGAGTGCGCGAGGCGAGACGCGACGATGCGAGTGCTAGGCGAGTCGGTTTGGCTGGTCGTCGATTCGTGCTTGAACGGTTGCATCCACAACACGTGCTCTGCTACCACGTTCTGCTTTTAAAGGTACATACTCTCATTTTATTTCCTGTGTGTGCGTGTGTGTGTGTTTTTTTATTATTTATATTCCATGGTGATTAACGGACAATGCAAGTATGTGTAGCTGTTTTCGGGTACAACCCGGGGTTTCAGTAACGATTTCAGGGGCAATGAAAGCAAACCCAGGCCTAATTTTCTCGCATACGAGGGTTCTAACAAAAGTTCTCGGAGTAGCAATGAAAATGGCTTACAATTGAGCTGAAAATTTTTTTTCTTTAGGGGAAACATATTCTTTGGCACATAAAAAATATCAGCCCTGTTCCACAAAATTTTTTTGAATGTTTTTCATAATTCACCCTGGCAGAGTTTTACTCTCCACTCAAAAGACGAGACGCCCTTTTTTGTTGTAGCCCAGCTTTCCCCTCAGAATTTTTGAAATCAACTTGGCATTCTTTCTAAGGGTTGCCTCCGGGTCATCCAAGGCAATTCCGCCATTTTCATCAGCAGCCGCCGTCACAGCCGCCACTTTGGCGGCTGCCAGCAAAACTCTGCCAGGGTGAATTATGAAAAAATTTAAAAAAAAATTGTCAAACAGGGCTGATATTTTTTTTGTGTGCCGAAGAATATGTTTTCCCTAAGGAAAAATTTTTTTTCAGCTCAACTGTTGGCCATTTTCATTGCTACTCCGAGAACTTTTGTTAGAACCCTCGTAGATGTCGCTGGAATCATGGGCGTTTCATTCAGTTCCCAATCAACTGGTAGTCGGGAAACCATTTCACTTGAGTCAAATAGGGTTTTCTAATCGTTGACTGCACCCCGATTGTCTTCCTTTTTCGTCCATATCACAGAAATATGTCGCTGTTTTTTTTTTTTTTTTTTTTTTTTTTGGCGCGAGGACTGTGAACATTGGATGTTGGGGCTTCTTTTGAATGCCTCCAGGGAAGTATGAAGGTAAATGTTCAAGAACTTCAATGGGCCACAAAATTCAACTTCCAAACTATGAAAGGAAACTAGTTTCTTTCCTTAGGTTGAAGTTCATCGTCCTTTTGACTCATGCAGTCTTCCTTGAAATTTTTATAGAAGGCGGGCTTTCTCAAAAAGAAATGAAATAAAAAGCATGTCGCTGATCATTAAGGTCTTCTGGCTGACTCAAATTTCAGTTGAAAAAAGGCATTGCCTATTTATGAGCTGGCTTGCGACCGCAAAATAGAATAATCTGCATCGTAAAATTAAAAAGGGCTTCCCGCACCCACCGAAAACTTTCGTAACTCAATTGAATAAATTACCGAACCTAGTACAATTTAACCAGTTGAATTACAGAGCTCAACGAAACAAGTCGACTGACGCAGGGGTTTGAGCTCTACGGCTTACACTGGGCAACTCGCATAATTAAATCTCAACTGGGTTAATCCCGAAACGTGCGCGTATTTCCCCAAGTCTGACAAGTCGCCGGATCCGCCATGAAGCCAAATATATGAGCGACGGGTTCATTGCTGATTCAAAGACGACTCTGATCCGTTTAAGCTTGAACTTAACCCATCTGATCCGACCAAATCTATTCAAATCCCCATTCGAAAGAAGAGCGAAATCACACCTACGGCCTTCAAGGTGTCGGCATGTGGGGGTCTCACTGTACTTCAGGCTTTTAAATATATACTACCTGTTATGTGAATACAATTTTGGAGTAATGATCATGCATGAATCCTTAATCTCGCCTAATGATGTAAATTTTCAAGTTTTGAACTTTCGGTTGAAGGTTTGGTATTTAAAAAGTTTTTAAATGCGAAAGTGCGATAAAATCTGCCTGGTTGTCAGGCCATTGATGTACACTAAATTGTGAAGTACTGTATTTGTCATCTCTGGAAACTGTAAAGAATTTCGTCAATGCCAGCCACTGTCGAAAATTTTATTGTGCTTCTTCTGTAAATACTCTCTTAAGACTTATGACCAAGTTTTTTTTTACCTGATACTTTCGCTCAGTGGCGGATTTATCCTCGCATACCTTCACCTAAAAGGCATGCTTGTAGTGTATGGAGTTACAGGATCGTTTTCCCAGACCGGGTTTGCTTAGCATATTTTTCGCGGATTCAGGGGTGTGTCACGACTGGTATTTCCCCGTTATTGACTTATTGAGGATGTTCCTCTTTTTTCTACTGTGGGAAATCGGGTTGGTTGGTTGGTTGGGTTCCGAACTACTTTCGACAGACGTTCGAGTATGGCTTTGGTTGTTCCAAAACTTTTATAGATTCAGTCTTTGGTTTGGTATACATTACTGGACATTTCTTGGGCTGTTGAATTCGGGTGCAGAAGAAAATCCCGCGGGAGAAAAAATCCCGTAGGCCCAAAAATCTCGCAAGGTCCGAAAATTCCGTAGGTACGAAAATGCCGAGAAATGAATTTTCATATCAGAAAAACCTTTTTTGAAAACTACAGAAGGCACTGGTATTCAAAAAATTAAAAATTATCAAGGAAGTCTAAATGCAGTTATATTTCATTTTCAATCTTAGTATACAGTACATGATGTAGGAAACATGAGTAAAATCTATAAAAAGTCCAAAAATTTTCAACTCTACAAGATTTCCACCCAAATTGATGCAAGTTATTACTTCAGAAGGGAAAGTTGAGCTGTGATAATCATTGGAAAAGTACACAGTTTTTATACAAAACAATGCAGGGATGAAGGCTAAATCTTTCCCAGGCTTCCTAACCTTTCTCTTGAAAAATATCAGGAAGTGAAGGTGAGATTCTTTGAGGAAGGTAATCCCTAAGCCTCCCAAACCCTTAAGAAGGATTAAAACCCTTGCACTTTCACAATTTCATAATCCACCAGATTTGTATCCCCTTCCAGACAGTTGGAAGGGTAACACAGAGACAATATTACAATTTTGTGGATTTTTTGACCATGCGAGGTTTTCCGGCCTACCGAATTTTTGGCCTCACGGGATTTTCGTGCCGCGGGATTGTTTTCTCCTACGAGATTTCATCATGGAGCCGTTGGATTCAGCGGCTTCTTGGTTTGAGGAAGATGATGAACGTCCGATTGTGAAAACGAAGAGAACCATGTTCGTCGAAAGGATGTCTGGAAAAAGATGGGTTGGTGTAGGGTTACTATACTATAACAGGGCTGAAGTGAAGGTAAATATTAGATTGTATTTAACCTGTTTCAGACAGGTTTGAAAATGCCCAAGAGAAACGCACGGTACCGCATTACCAACGTGAACCAACTTGGGAAGTGGAACGCGGGGATCTTTGGGTACAAAAACAAATTTAGTTCACAAAACTGGTTTCATTGTCTGGAGACAACGGAAAGTTTTTTTTTGTCCCTTCAATTCGTTTTTTTATAGTTATTTCATCATTTCTGGTAACCACAGGGAAATGGATGAATCAGGCAGTTGTCGGGATCAGTTCTAAATGGCTGCCATATACGATGGCGTAATGTTTGACCTTGTATAAAATTGATTGTTTTTTGTCATTGATCGTCTCAGCCCAGGGAAGCCCAGGATTTTTGGGGTCTCCGAATTTTTTTCTGGGTTCCAAATTATCAGTTAGTCCCGCGTCAGAAGCGGCGAAGATCGACCGTTGAATAGTTGAGGCGGTTTTGAATTTCTGGTCTTGAGACGGGTTTTGTACGAGTATGTAAATGTCACCATGCTTTTCCTCGTTTATTATTTTTTAAATGTCAGTATTATTGAGTTCATTGCTTTTTTCAAGTAATTCCTTCAGTGAAAGACGTGCTATGATAATCAAAGATATAAAGATGAAATGACATTTAATCGAGCGGTTTAAAATACCGTTGGGGGTTAGATCAGGATAGTGATTTAAACGAATATTTTCTGAAATTATTGACAAGAAGATTATGTTTTCAAGGAAGAGTCGAAAATTCGCCCGAATTTATAATGTTTTTATATTGATTCATTACGTGCAATATATTTCAGGTGTCATGTGTTTATTGTGGATTGAAGCTCTGGAAGATTTCTTTTCCCTGACTTTAGCTGGAATTTCCGCCTTTCTTCCCATCACGATGTCTTCAACACCGGAATTTTATTTTATTTTGAGTAGGTGTCGCCCGAAAATTCGTAGGCAAAATTAAATCAATAGACCACGCTTGGTCACGTATGTAAATCCCTGCGGTATTACGTCATGTTCCATGAATTCAGATCCACGTGGCGAATATGGAAAGAGGTGAAAAATTGGTCGAAGTTTGGAATGTTCCTTTTGTAATCCACTGCTCATAGTTAAGGCTTCATCGCCGTCGTGGTGGAGGGAGGGGAAGAACGGCTCTCGGAAAAAAACGTAATCCTTTTCCTAGGTTTTGGCTGGGATTTATATCATTCTTCGTCTTTCTTCTGCAGTGCAGGGATTTCTGAGCATTTAAAAAGAAGGGGGAACACACTTCCTTTTGTTTCACGCTGATCGATCTCTGTAACACCCCCCGGGTATTGTTTTTTTTTTCTTCAGGAATGGAGCAGGAAACTCTCGTTGCCGGTGTATGTGCGCAACGGTATGGAGGAGGTTGAGCAGTCGGGGGATTCCCGCGAATGCGGATGCCCAACGAGTGTTGGTGGCCAGTTGGACAAAGACGAGCTGTGAGTGACTCACGTGGCTGATAACGGTGGTACGTGTGTGTGTGTGTTTTTTTTCTTTCTCTCTTCGACCATGGAGACTGGAATCCAAAGTCAAGGAGATTATCCATACCCACGGCCTGGGATTCGAGCCCAGTGATGCCCGCGTCGGGGGGGATTTTGGTGCGGGAATTCCGTGAGAAGCTAACGACTGTGATCTACTGGTTAATTCCGACGACTCGGGCACTGCCTGAGAAAATC